TCTTGCAGCCGTGCCGCCCCAGCCAAACTCCCCACCGGCACGTGTGCGCCTTTCAGGCAGTAGGCCGCGCTGCGCCGCGCCAGCGGTCTTTCACGCGCGACAAGGTCTCCCGCCTGGCTACATGCGCGGCGCGCGCGGCCCGCGCCGGCTAGAGTCAAGCTCAACAGGGTCTTCTTTCCCCGCTGCGCGCCCAGGCCCGTTCCCCTGGCTGTGGTTTCGCCGGCGGCAGGTAGGGACAGCGGGAATCTCGTTCGTCCATTCATGCGCGTCACTAATTAGATGACGAGGCGTTTGGCTACCTTAAGAGAGTCATAGTTACTCCCGCCGTTTACCCGCGCTTCGGCGGCTCGCCCCGCGGTGACTCTCTGGGCACTGGGCAGAACTCACCTCCCCTCCGCACCCCGAGGCTCCGGGAGGCTATGTTTTAATTAGACAGTCAGACTCCCCCGGCGTTCCGGTTCTAGCGCCGCCAGAGCCAACGCTTCTCCCGAAGTTACGCGTCTATTTTGCCGAGTTCCCTTACCCGCGCTTCCCCGCGCCAGAGGCTGCGCGCCTCGGAGACCTGCTGCGGTTTCGGTACGGGCGCGCGCTCCCCGGGGGCCTCTTTTCACGCGCGCGCGGCCGCACGCCTGTGCCTCTTCGCTGCTCCACGCGTCCAAGCGCGCGCGGGCACAGATGCCTCTCTGCGCCCCGTGCGCCGCGCGCGTCAAGGCCCCCGCGCCGCTGCCGTTCTGCGCGCGGCGCTCTCTCTTCCCCTTCGCCGCGCACGCTGCGCGCCTTAGGCCCGGCTCTCTCCTCGCGGAAACCCTTCTCCTCCTCGGCCCTTGGCGCCAAGCCCGCTACTCCCTCCAAGATCTGCGCGCCCGGGGGCTCCACGCCGCGTCGCCGCGCCGCTTCTCTGCGCCCGGACCGCCCCACTACACACGCGGATTCGCATGGCACGGCCTCGGGGGGACTTCCAGCGCCCTCCATTTTCAGCGCGCGCGGGTTCGGCAGGAAAGTTGCGACACACTTCTTGGCGGGTGCCGACCTCCATGGCCACCGGCCTGCTGTCCTGACCCGCGCCCGGCTTTCCCCGCTCTCCTCGTCCTCCGCGGCCCCTTATCCGTGCGCGCGGTTCACCCCGCCTCGCGCGTGCTGCTTACCAGCGCGCGCCCACTCGGCCCGCTGCTGCGCGCGCGTTCGCAGTTCGAGGCCGCCCTCGTCCGCTCTACCGCGCGCCACGCCCGCGGGCCGGCTGTCCTGCGGGACATTTCGTGGGGAACCAGCTACCACGCGGTTCGATTGGTCTTTCGCCCCTACGCCCACCTCCCGGGACCGATTTGCACGTCAGGCCCCCTCGGAGCTTCTGCCGGGGCTTCCCCCGCCGTCGCTCGCGGCAGGCGTAGTTCACCGCGTTTCGGGCCGCTGCGCGCGCACTTTCCGTGCCTCCCCGGCTCTCCGCGCCCGCCGCGCTCCGTCCTCCCGACGTTCCGCTCGCGCGCGCGCAGCGCTCCTTGGTCCGTGTTTCAAGACGGGCCGCGCGGGTGCCCGCGCCCCGCGCGCTTCGCGCCGCGTGTTTCGCGCCTTTTCACTCCGCTCCCGCGCGTCTTTTCTCCTTTCCCTCGCGGTACTTCTTCTCTATCGGCCTACCCGTGTATTCTGCCTTCGATGGCCCGCTCCACCCTTCGGCGTGCCCTCCCACGCACGCCTACTCTTCCCGCTGCGCGCGCCGCGTACGGGCGTTCCACCCTCTCTGCGCGGCCGTCCCCGCCTGTTCCGCAGCGCGCTCCGCCGCACACCCCCGCAGGTTCGCCGCGGGCTCTTTCCCTTTCGCTCGCCGCTACTCCGGAAATCCGTGTTCGTTTCTTTTCCTCCGCGTACTGATATGCTTAAGTTCTGCGGGTCTCCTCACGCGCGTCGTCCGTTCCGCCACAGCCGCGCCCGCTCCTGCGCGCTCTTTCGCCTTCTCTGCGTCCTTCCTCGCGCGGATAGCCGAGGGGTCCCCTCGCGGCGCCCTTCTTCCGTTGCCGCGCTGCTTTCGCATTGTTTGCCTTCGCATGGAAATGTAAAACACATCCTCTCTGCACACGCGCGCGCTCGTATTGATCCTTCCGCAGGTTCTCCTACGGAAACCTTGTTACGACTTTTATCCAATCTAGGCACAGCAGCTCACGCGCGCACGCGCTTGCCGCGCGCACCCATCTCAGATAGCGACGGGCGGTGTGTACAAAAAACAGGGACGCTGTCTCCGCGGGCTGGTGACCCGCGGGTACTGGAAATTCCGTGTTCAGCCCGCGGTTCCGCACGGGCATCCCCTGCGCGCCGCTCCTCCTGCGCCTCTCGGCACTCCTTCCTGCGCGCACTGTGACGCGCGTGCAGCCCAGCGCTTCCAAGGGCATCACAGACCTGCTATCGCCCGCCCTCCTCCGGCTACCCGCCGGCCGTCTGTCCTCTGCCCTGCAAAGCACACGCGGATCGCGCACGTTATCGGATTCAACCAGACAGGTCACCCCACGTGCTAACAGCGGCCATGCACCACTCTCGCCCGAATCTCGCCCCGATCCTCCCGGACTCCTCCGCTGGTAAGCTGCCTAGTGTTGAGTCTAATTAAGCCGCACGCCCCACTCCTTGTGTGTTAATCCGTCAATTTCGTTTAAGTTCCAACCTTGCGGCAATACTTCCCCTATAGCCCTCGCACTCGATTTCTCTCCGGGCACCTGCTCGCCCCTGCGCGCACGCCCCCGTGTTGGCATCGTTTACCGCCGGAACTACAACGGTCTCTAATCATCTTCGCTTCTCCGGCCTTCGTCCCTGATCAATGAAAGCGTCCCTGGCAGGCGCCTTCGCCTCTGTCCATCCTCGGCAAGTCTTTGAATTTCACCTCTGGCTGCCAAATCTTCCCGCCCTCGCGCCGCCCCTCTTGACTTCGCTCCTTCCGTGCATCGCGCTCCTCTTGAACTGCCTGCTTTCCCCACGGCCGTCTCCCCCGACTACGGACCTTTTAAATACAACACACACCACAGACACCCTTGAAGCTGGAATTACCGCGGCTGCTGGCACCAGGCTTGCCCTCCAATTGCTTCTCGCCCGCTCTTTTCTCGCGCGCTCTTTCTCCGTATGTCTCCTCACTGCTTCTCCCCCTGGGAAGTGAGCAAGTTCCGCGCCTGCTGCGATCCTTGGATCTACGGGCTGCCTCTCACACCCGTTCTCCGAGACCAAACCCTCATCCCTCGTACCCATCGTCGCCTGGGTTGGCCCTGACCCGACCCACTAGCTAATAGGACAGTCTCCCGTTTGGCTGCGCCCTGCGCTGCTCTGGCGTCCTGCTTCTCCGTGGATGCCCCCCGCCGTGCGTCGTCTTGGCCGAAGGTTTCCTCGGATGTCCGCCCGTGTTCTCCAAGCCGGTCAAAACTGCGTCCCTGAGCTCTCCGACGCTTCCTTCCGTGTGCCCGTCATGCATGGCTTAGTCTGAAAGACCAGTGTCTATGTCAGGCAGAATCAACCTGGTGCTTCTTTTTCTCTGCTCTTCCCTCCTCTTCTCTCTTCTCGCCCTGGCTACTCCCCGATGCTGTCTCTGCGCCCGCTCTTTTCTCCCCTCTGTGCTCTCTCTTTTCTTTCTCCCCCCCGGCTCTTTTCCTTTTTTTCCGCCTGTCCCGCGCCTTTCCGCCTTTTCTTTTTCTTCCTCCGCCC